ACTTTTTTTCAAGCTAGTATCGGATAAATCTAGAGTATCTGTTGATTTGGATAATTTTATGATGGTGTCCGTGTTAGTAGATGTAGTCGAAGTCAGTGCACTCGATGATAATTGGGGATTTGGCATCCGTGAACTACCTCGAAATCTTGGCATACCTCTTCTTATGTAAGATAGTCTCCTCGGAATTTGCTCAGGAGGTTTTGTTTCTTCTTGGTCTGAAGTCGACATAGTGAGAATCCCAACTATTTCAACAACGTCGAGTTTCAATTCTATATTGACGTATTGCTTTGCAGATATGTTGGCAAACTTGATAACAAATCCCTTCGATGTTCCTGTTGAAAAAAAAGTAGAGTTTTTTCGTGAGGAAATCGACAAAATGTGTCATTTTTACAAGTACTTCGATAACTTCCCAACCGTGTTGAACCTTCGCCAATCAGGACCAGTCAAAAACGACATTCGTTGACTTCATCGAATCCCGAGCACCTAATTTTGATGCTGACGGAAACAGTCCACTCGTGTTACGTTGGCAAAAGTGAACTAACAACACTTTTGAAACAACCTAATCAATCATTATCTATCTATCATTATCAGTAGTACTGTCTGACTTTCACAAGATGTGGATAGTAAATTCTTCAGTGAGAATACGTTCAACGAACACATTAACGGAGCTGTTTGGACTTGAATGAGATTATTGTTTGCGAAATTAATCAAAGTTCTCTTATAACAGGGCGCATTTATCGAGGGGGATGTTCCTCCTCCCCAAACAATGTAGCGACAAAAACATTGAACAGTTACTATATTTCGATCTATTTGTTTTTGCTATTTTGGTTGACTTATATGAAAACTTTTATTTGAATTGACCCAAATGATGAAAAGTTTTTGAATGAAATGATAGAAACTTTTAAAAAAATAGAAGTCGAATCCAGGTCCGTATTTCATTTTTACGTCTGTCATTGGTTAAACCTTGATGATGGTCATCGTGGATCGAAACGGTTGACAATACTCCAAGTGTGATATACAAATGAATGCAGGTCAGAAATAACCACAATATTTCACAGCGACAAATACAGGTCCGCATTCGAAAACAAAGTTGAAGATGGTCATTATTGAACAAAACATCTTTGCGAAAATTTCATGACACTTAATGGAAATTGTTGATGAATATTTAACAAAAATCTCCTGCTTATCTTTATTCTGAAAAATAGATCTCTGAACATAATGTCTTGGAAACGTCTGATGCTATTTTCAATTTCCTCACCGTGTTTGACTGATTTTTTGAGAAACGCAACTTTTTGTAATTCAACCGAGGTTAACTAATAGAGATCCGCTCTACGGAATCAGCCTGTATAGATGTTTAATCAGTATTTAAATGATGAATCTGATTATATGTACGAGTAGAGAGAAGTGGTATTCCCCGAAGTACAGAAGATAATTTCAATGACAACCTCAGTGGTATAGTAGGAGATTTTTTTTCAATAGATCGCGTATAATGATGTCCCATGAATTTATAATCAGTGAAGAAGTGAAAAAACTAGTTGTTATACAAGGTCTTCATTTCTCAGTAGGCAATACGTGAATATCAAGGTACAATTTTGATTACTTCATTTTTACAAACATAATTTGTCGGAAACCCTCACTATTATTTTATGGAATATGGAATTGAGAAGAAGTATCAAGAAACAACTGATTCACGTGGATAGCTTTGCGATACAAAAAAAATATTTCACAAGTTTGAACTCTTTTACTCACCAGAATCTTGAAATCCCTCCTTACTGTAAGGAACACAAGACTTTTCATTAGTCTCCACGGTAATTTCAGCCCCTGTGAAATGTACAATAAACCGTTGTTTGATTCCCACAGATCTTGTTCTTTCGCCAAAGTGGAAAGTATTCAGAAAAATGACCTCGTCTGCTGGATTGAGCCGAAACGATATCATGAATAGGTCATCTTTGAAACGATAGAAAAATAACTTCTCGTACTCAAGGAAGGATCTTCTTAAGTCCACAGAAATATAGGGATTGCGCAGTATTACAGACGGATGTTGCTGTTCAAAGTGCTTTGGCATCATAAATGTGGGAACTTCAAAGCTTTCACAGATAGGGCAGACATAAATTCTCGATTCACACTTTGCTTCATGTTCTTCTACTTGTACGTTTCTCAGAAGTGTTCTGCAACCATCAAATCTGTTGACACATTTGAAAAGGCTTTTTTCTGCTAGTAGGCCGTAAAAGGAAATCACTCCTTCATCGTCGTTATTTTGTGAACATCTTCCGCATCTGACATTTCTGTTGCTGTAGACTTTCACTGGAAGAGCGGACAAAAAGCGCTGACAACAGTGACAGATCAAAATTTCCAGAATTTCTTCGGGAATCACAAAATCCATTATTGTGTCACCACTCTTTCTCACTCAACTTGTATAACTGCAGGAAATAATATTTGTTTCTATATCTTCCCGACTCTGAAGCTGATAAGATAATATGACGTGTTGTGCGATTTTCATCAATCAGTTCAAGTACACTCAAAAACACTAGTAGAATTGGAAACTCTGCTTTGAGATGATTTTATTATTATTATTGAATAATTCCTTTTCCACAATAGAATAAAAAAATTTTGTCGCTTGACGTGCGTTTTGCCAACCAGGTTAGCATCATTGGGAGATTACCTTCAGTTATATCCTGGTCATAAAATAGAACTGGCTGGTATCTCAATCGCCACAAAAGAATGTACAATGGGTCACATGTGGCCTAAGTGCGTGGGCTTACCCTCACCCTCCCTACTCTACAGATACTCCTGGTCATAGGTGAAAGGTGGTGTGTGACATATATAAAGTGAATTTTCGTTTTTATCCAAAAACGTTTATTCGTTAATTTCTATTTGGTCCGCTTCAAAGAAGTTCCCCTCAAATACACTTGTGCTAGGGTTTTCTCTAATCCTCGAAGAAGTTCTGATATGCACTTTTCAGTATGCCCATGAGCTCTCAGCGATTGGTCTCTGCAATCTTGTGAAAAGAATCCAATATCATCATGTATGCTCATGTGGCAAGAACTCCTGATGCACTATGCCAAGTTTTCGATCTTGGATCCTCTGAACCCTTCCATTGGGACGATTAGACTTTAGCATCGATTTCCTAACCATATAACCATGAGTCGTCAATTATTGATGTTTGAAGGCCTTAGATTTTTTGAACTTTTTTTTGACGGTTCGCTAGTGGGAGAGGTTAGCTTCTTCAGAGGTTTATACATCCTGAGTCTTTTGAGAAAAAAAATGGAAAAACCCAGGGTGTTCAAACCTTTGAAGCTAGTCACTTATTCCAGTGAAACGTCAGGAACAAATTCCAAAAATCAACTACCTTCAAACGGAAATAATAGTAGTTGTGGATACATGAATTAGTCACCCAATTTCCATTGCTTGCCACATCATACAGAGTGGCCAAATGAAAACTAAATAATAATTATTTATAATATAATATAGATGAGAGAGTAATGATAAACATTTGTTAGTAATAAAAATGACAGTTGAAAAGTACTGAATGAGAGGATCTATTCTACCCTCCACTGTAACTCATGAGGATAAAAATCCAGCTTTTCAACGAAGCCGCAGCTGCAGGGTAGCATAACCTGAATACTCTCAGGTCATTCAAGCGATGAATAATGATAATGAATAGTTATAGCACAGCTATTAATAGAATCATATAGAATCAATATAAAGAGATATTGAAATAACAAGGCAAAATATACGAGTATGGATTCGATAAAATTATGTTGGATCTATCATGAAATCAATATGTAAGGCAATAACAAGTCTTTATCAGGAACTGTATCTACATTTCATGAGAAAATAAGACCCTATCAATATTTGATTGAATTGGGACTCCGATTTGTTTACTCTGCTACTTCTGAGCAAAATTGACAATCACCCCAAAATTATCAAATGGAATGAGGGGTTGCAAAAACTGCCACTTTGAAGACCTGAATTATGTCTGCTTCAGTCGTTGACTTTCCGAATTCCGCCTGATAGTCTCATGAAAAGTTGATTCAAGATATTTGATTTGCTTGGTTAAGAAAAAGAGTAAAGGATATTGTTGAATTCACGAGAAGTGATGTGATATCTCTCAGAAATGAATGAATTTTTCATCCCTGTACTAATGACAAACTAAATCAAAAACCGTACAAAAGAACCGAAACCGAAAAATGAAAAACATTTCGATTTTTTGATGACCTTTATGAATCATTTTCTGGAAATAAAAGATGAATTTCACAGAAGCTGTACACTAGATTATCTCCTTTGCATAAAGTACCTTTTATAAAAGTGTTTCCATTTTCCGAACCCGGTTTTTTGTACGGTGTATCGTTAGGAACGATCTCAGTGATGATTTATATGTAAATTTTTGGAAGCATCACATTAACTTTCAGCAACTCACCCCCCCCCCACACACTGAAGTTATTGTCCTTACTTAGATGACCACCTACGTCTATGCAATGAAACTGACTTTTTTATGAGTATAGTTTGGAAAATGAGTCCATTGTACCACACCATAACAAAAATACTGTCTCTCAACTCGCATTTGCCTAATCAAGTTACCAACATCATCATCGATACTGGTTTTTCCACATATGAAAGAGTGATCAGAGTTATCCCATTACACTTATCGACAATTTTCAATACAAATCTTTCTTGAAGCTGATTAACGGAAAAACAGATTTTTAAACAGATGTTTTATCGATCCATTTTTTCACGTATTTGAATTGTTGACTCAGTTCATGATAACGGCTTCATTTCTTTTTCGAGTGGAATGATCTGAAAAATATTCAAGAGACTGCTAATACTCAATGAATAATTCCTCAATTGGAATTAGTTTGATAATGCTACCTTGCAAAACGAAGTCTTTTTTTCAACTGAAACATGCACTTTTCAAGAATAAATACAAACCTAAAAAAATACAAAACTCATAAAAATACTTGATACTAGTTGGAAACCAATCAAATCAGTTCATAGAAATATACAAATTCATTTAAATTTGTTGACAAAAGATATGAGTAAATGATTTTGAGAGACTGAAAATTTTCTCATCGATACATATTATATTAACAAATATCAATACCAAGTTCCTGACAGTGAGGTTAAAAAAGTGAACGGATGTTTTCTTGAAACCTCCTTCCAAACTGGTATCACTACTTATCAAAACATGAGTAATTGATGATCATGAAGCCATCATTATTACTATTTTGTTGCATTTTCTGATTCCAAAGTAACAACACAAATTATTTTGGTTCGACAAAACATTTGATTCTTACATTTTCTGTTTCACTGATATACTGCTTCGCCTGTGCAGTTTCATTTGTTTTCAGAACTTTCAAAATCTGCCAGTCATTGTCAAACAAATAAACTATTGGTTGTACTTTAGAGTCAGCTTCGCATATCCCCATAGTCACACACCAGGAATAATTTCCCATATTCCAGGAAAACTTCACCATAACGAATGAAGGTGGTGTCCAAACATACCACTGGAATTCGTATTTATCATTTCGATTCAACTTGGTTATGAATGTTGACTGCAGACTGACGAACTGATTTCCAGCATGTTTCTCACTGAAGTGTTTCTCTATTTCAAACAATTTAACCATATGAGTGCATTGATTCACTGGACACGACTGTGATGGCTGATTTACACAATAGATTTCGTGTTTGTGAAGGCTTATGTTGTAAGAAGCCGTGGTGCAACCCCAATAGCAATAAAACAGTATGTAAGAGTAAACATCGTACTCCAAAACTAGCCTGGCTTGCGAATACGTGAACTTGTAGTCCTCTGAGCTTTTGAAAATAAGGTAACAAGAAAAACATATCCAAAAGTAACTCCGATTTTGCCTCAGAAAAACAGATTCAACATACGTGTCTTTATCAAAACACAACTCATGGCAAAAGTAACATGGCAAAATTATTTCCACTTTTCCAGATAATGTTGTCCTGATCAAATTATAGAAATCCAAATCGGTGGAATACTCTGAATAATGCTTCCGAAAATAGCCATCTAAATAAATTTTCCTCGGAAGAGTGAGCTTTTTCTGAAAGAATATATCCGAAAATCTTCTAAAGTGATCCAATTCATCACTTTTTTTCGAGTTGGTATCGGATAAATCTAGAGTATTTGTTGATTTGGATAATTTTATGATAGTGCCCGTGTTAGTAGATGTTGTCGAAGTCAGTGTATTCGATGATAATTGGGGATTTGGCCTTCGTGAGGTACCTCGAAATCTTCGCTTACCTCTTCTCATGTAAGATAGACTTCTCCGAATTTGCTCAGGAGGTTTTGTTTCTTCTTGGTCTGAAGTCGAAATAGTGAGAATCCCAACTATTTCAGCAACGTCGAGTTTCAATTCTATATTGACGTATTGCTTTGCAGACAAGTTGGCAAACTTGATAACAAATCCTTTCGATGTTCCTGTTGAAAAAACTCCAATCAATAACTTTGAAGAACTAATGAAAATAACGAAAATTTAATATTTGACTTGATCACATTCTGCTGAACTCATAAAAGTTATTTGCTGAACGGAACCATGCGAATAGCAGAGTAGAAAAGCGCATTGCATTTGACCTAGCATAAGTCCAACCAAGGTTTAATGAATGAAACGATTAAACTCACTGCTTTCCAAGAAAACAAATTTTAGGTATTTTTCATCAACATCCCACAAAATAGAGGTAACTATGTGTCTGTTCAGTGGAAATCTCACAATAAAGTGTTTTTTATTTTGGGTTGTTTTGATGTCATTTGCTTCTGTCGGTGAAGGTTCATGACGTATTGAAAGAATCGAAAAGGTCTAAAAGTGGGTGTCCCTCGATTTCAACGATCTACATTAATTTTCAGTTCTTCTTTGTTCTTGCGCAACGAAAACGAACCTGATTTGAATAGGATCGTCCCTTGTGCTGAAAACTGGATATTCTAGGACAACAGGTGATGTTCAGGATAGTGGTTGGACACCGATAAGCCATCCAGGTACTTTCCAAAGGCGAAAATACACCAAAAAAGATCGTGATCACTGGATGATCAGCAGCTTATGTGATTCAGTATAAATTTCTGCCACCGGCCAAATTATCACAATAGAGTTTTTTCGTGGGGAAATCGAAAAAATGTATCAAAAGTTGCGTCAGCAGCAGTGAAAATTAAACGAATAGAGTGTCGGAGTTCTGCCTCACCCTCCATGCTCCCCAGACCTATTGCCAACCTACTCCCACTTTTACAAGCACTTCGATAACTTCTCAACCGTGTTGAACCTTCGCCAATCAGGACCAGTCAAAAACGACCTTCGTTGACTCATCCAATCCCGAGCACCTAACTTTGATGCTGACGGAAAGAGTCCACTTGTGTTACGTTAGCAAAAGTGAACTGACAAAACTTTTGAAACAACCTAATCTATCATTATCTTGAAAACATGATCCAATGACTTTTGACTAATCAGTAGTACTGTCTGACTTTCACAAGATGTGGATAGCATATTTGACAATGAGAATACGTTCAACGAACGGAGCTGTTTGAACTTGAATAAGATTCCAAATATATTGGCGAAGAATATAATACAAATCAGGAAATTATGAAACAACAAAATTCGATTTGCGCTCCAAGGCGACTTCATTGATACCAGTGAGGCATTTGCTTTTTCAGCTGCAGGAAAACCCGGATAAATCTGTAGCACCACATCATCAGAAGATCTTGATCTGCCAGTGTCCTCTCTTTCATGAAATGAAATGTAGAACAATGACTGCATGATGATTACATTAGTGTTCTGCCAGATTATATTACTTGATTATTGCGAAATTAATCAAATTTCTCTTATAACAGGGTGGATTTATCGAGGGGGATTTCCCTTCCCCTCAACATCAATATTCAATATTTCTAAATGAGTTTTGTATTATATATAGGGACCTATTTCTGAATGTAAATCACCACCACCAAAAATCATCACCCCCAAAAATCACCCCTCCCCAAAATTCAGTAATTATTTTCCTCCTCTCCAGAAGACTTTGGTTGAGGATAGATATTTATATTGCTTGTCACAGAATTCATAGGAATAAATTCTCTGAAAATTTTACGGAATTTTAATCATGCCAACATGATGGTGCACCTACACACCTTTATGATTAGGCGATAATTTTTTCAAAAAAAAACATATGAATAGGTAGTAATGATGCGATTCGGTAACCCGCACAATCACCTGACCTTACTCCTTGGATTTTTTCATTCGGGACTGATACAAAAATCTGCAATGCTTGCGATGTGATTATACAAAATATGTTAACAAAATTCATAACAGATACAAATAAATGCACTTAACTTGCCAAACAATGTAATAACAAAAATATTGAACATTCATTATATTTAGATTCATTTGTTTTAAAATTTTCAATTGGATTGACCCCAAGATAAAAAGTTTTTGAATGAAATGATAGAAACGTTTGAAAAAATAAAAGTCAGGTCCGTATTTCATTTTTAGGTCTTTCATTGGTTGAACCATGATGGTGGTCACGTGGACCGAAACAGTTCATAATACTCCAAGTATGATATACAAACTGAATGCAGGTCATAAATAACCACAATATTTCGCAGCAAAAAATACAGGTCCGAATTCGAATAGAAATTGTTGATAAATATTTAAAAAAAATCTCCTGCTTTATCTTTATTTTGAAAAATAGAGCTGTGAACATAATGTTTTGGAAATGTCTGATGCTTTTTTTAATTTCCTCACATAGTTGGACTGATTTTTTGAGAAACGCAACTTTTTTGTAATTCTACTGACCTTTCAACTTTGAAGGTTAACTAATAGCGATCCGCTCTTCGAAATCAGCCTGTATACGTAGATATTACTCAAACAGTGTTACTACAGATGTTTAATTAGTATCTGAATGATGAATCTGATTATATGTACGAGTAGTGAGAAGTGGTATTCCCCGAAGTACAAAAGATAATTTCAATGACAACATCAGTCGTATAGTAAGAGAATTTGTTTTCAGTAGATCACGTATAATGACATCCCAGATATTTATAACCCGTGAAGAAGTGAAAAAACTAGCTGTTATACAAGGTCTTCATTTTTCAGTGAGTAATACGTGAATATCAAGGTACAATTTTGATTATCTCATTTTTACAAACATATTCTGTCAGAATGAGGAATCACGAAGAAGTATCAAGAAACAACTAATTTATGTGGATAGCTTTTCGATACAAAAAAAACATTTCAATATTTTACAAGTTTGAACTCTTTTACTCACCAGAATCTTGAAATCTCTCCTTACTGTAAGGAACACAAGACTTTTCATCAGTCTCCACGGTAACTTCAGCCCCTGTGAAATGTACAATGAACCGTTGTCTGATTCCTGCAGCTCTTGTTCTTTCGCCAAAGTGAAAAGTATTCAGAGAAATAACCTTGTCTGCTGGATTGAGCCTAAACAATATCATGAATAGGTCATCTTTAAAACGGTAGAAAAATAACTTCTCGTACTCAAGGAAGGATCTTCTTAAGTCCACAGAAATATAGGGATTGCGCAGAATCACAGACTGATGTTGCTGTTCAAAGTGTCTTGGCATCATGAATGTGGGAACTTCAAAGTTTTCACAGATAGGGCAGACATATGTTCTCGATTCACATTTTGCTTCATGTTCTTCTACTTGGAAGCTTCTCAGTAGTGTTCTGCAGCCATCAAATCTGTTGACACATTTGAAGAGACTTCTTTCTGCTAGTAGTTCATAAAAGGATATCACTCCTTCATCGTCGTTATTTTGTGAACATCTTCCGCATCTGACATTTCTATTGCTGTAGACTTTCACTGGAAGAGCTGACAGAAAGCGCTGACAACAGTGACAGATCAAAATCTCCAGAATTTCTTCGGGGATCACAAAATCCATTGCTGTTTCACCACTCTTTCCCACTCAACTTATATAACTGTAGAAAATAATGTTCGTTTGTATATTTTGCTGACTCAAAAGCTGATAAGATAACATGACGTGTTTTGCAATTTCTATCACGTACATGTACACTCCAACACGCTAGTAGAATTGAAAACTTTGGTTTGAGATGATTTCATTGAATTCCTTTTCCACGACAAAACAAAAAGACAGTGTCGCTTGAGGTGCGTTTTTCAAACCTAGTTAGCATCATTGAAAGATCACCTTCGGACATACCCTGATCTTAGGTGAAAGGTGTGTGTGAGATATATACGAGGTCTGTTCAAAAAATAATCTGAATTTAAATTTTTTTCAAAAATGTTTATTCATTTGTTTGTATTTTCTCCCCTTCAAAGTGAATCCACTCAAATATAATACACTTGTGCCAGGGTTTTTTCCAATCCTCGAAGAAGTTCTGGGATGCACTTTTCAGTCCATGAGCTTTCAGTGATTCGTCTCTTCAATCTTGTGAACAGAAAGCAGGCGGATAACTCCAAGGTAATACTCCTTATTGATCGTATGATAATGTGGCATAAACTCCTGATGCACTACGCAAAGTCATCAAAAGAAACAGTGACCATGACTTCGACATTAGATCAAACTTGGCATGCTTCCTTCGGTCTTGGCTCTTCTGGGCTCTTCCATTGGAACGATTGGACTTTTCATCGATTTCTCAACCATTTACCCATGAGTCTTCATCAGTCATGACCCATTTCAGCAAATCTGGATCGCCATTGACAACATTCAACAATTCCTGTGGGTGCTCATGCGATGGATTTCATAATCAAAATTCGGTAATTTTGAAATGGACTTCACTGCCACATGCTTCATTCCCAAAACTTCCGAAAAAATTGCATAGCATGAGCAAATCTGAATGCCAATATCGACGATGAATCGACGATTCTTCATAACATTTTTTTTCACTTTCACAACATTTTCATCGACTGTTGATGTGCTGGGGCGTCCAGGACGAGCGTCCTCATTCACATTTTCTCGACCCTCTGTTGCAAGCCTGTACCTACCATTTCAAACATACTTTCGACTCAGAGCATATATTGAATATACGTATGTCTCATCAAAAGAAATGATTATTTTTCGATTTGGCAACGTCTGAAATTCTACTATCAGTTGTGCAACATACAAAATCGAATTTTACTAGTTTCATTGCTATTGAACGCATTTAATTGGGAATTTCACAGTTGGTATGTTGGATATACAAAATTACCTACCATGAATATCCTACAGCAGAAAATCGCCGAACGCGCTAAACACTTCTAACTTTCATGCCTCTCAACAACAACCAAACATGTTAAACAACCGAAACTATGAGCATATGTTAGAAATGAGTGAATCGACATAAAAAAATTAAAATGTTGCTGATCGAATGTATAAGTAGCCCGCGAAATTTGAACACTCACATAATTTTTTAACCGACCTTGTATATAAAATTGCCGAAACTCTCGCAGATAATACTTTTAGAATCAGAACTGAAACAATATAAACTGCGAAAAATCACAGAGTATTGAATTAATTACCAAAACTGACAAAATTATCTCCACAATGTGTGTAGGAAGTTTCTGTACTGAATTTAATTCAGTTTTATTCAGAATCTCAGGTTTTAAATTTAAACTATGACAACAGAATGAAATTGTATGTGATGGAATTGTTCGTTACATGAATGAAATTGTCTTTCTGAATAAGTTGTGAAAATACGATGATTATAGATATTTGCCTTTCAATATAAACAGATATGTGAATTACAAAATAGTAAAGGCTCTTCCATTGAAGCGATTGGACTTTGGTATCGATTTCCTAACCATATAATCATGAGTCGTCAATTATTAATGTTTGAAGGCAGTCGATTTTTGCAATTTCTTCCTGACGTTTCGTTAGCGAGAGTGGCTGACTTCTTGAGAGGTTTATACATCCTGAGTCTTTTGAAAAAAACAAGGAGGAACTCAGAATGTTAAAACCTTTGAAGAAGCTAGTCACTCGTGCCAGCGAAACGTCAGGAAGAAATTCCAAAAATCGACTGCCTTCAAACCGGAATAATGGTGGATGTGGATACATCAATTACTCACCCAATTTCCATCGCTTGGTATATCATACAGAGTGGCCAAATTTCATTTAAATAACATTTCTAATACATATAAATGTGAATATACCAGATGAAAGAGTAATAATAAACAGTTGTTAGTAATAATAATAATAACAGTTGATAAATACTGAATGAGAGGATCTATTCTACCCTCCACTGCAACTCATGAGGACAAAAATTCAGTTTTTCAACGAAGCCGCAGCTGCAGGGTAGCATAACCCGGATAATCTCAGGTCATTCAAGCATTGAAAGATAAATAATAATAGCGAATCGTTATAGCACAGCTAAAAATAGAATCATATAGAATCGATATAAAGAGATATTAAAATAACAAGGTAAAATATATAAGTATGGATTCGATAAAATTATGTTGCATCTATCATGAGATCCATATGTGAGGTAATAACAAGCCTTCATCAGGAACTGTATCTACATTTCATGAGAAAATAAGACCATATCAATATTTGATTGAATTGAGACAGCCTTCTCCGATATTTTTACTCTGCTTCTCCTGAGCAAAATTGACAATCACCCCAAAATCACCAAATGGAATGAGGGGTTGCGAAAACTGTCACTTTGAAGACCTTAATTATGCCTGCTTCAGTCGTTGACTTTCCGAATTCCGCCTGATAGTCTCATGAAAATTTGATTCAGAATATTTGATTTGCTTGGTTAAGAAATAGAGTGCAGGATATTGTTGAATTTTTGAGAAGTTATGTGATATCTCTTAGAAATGAATGAATTTTTCGTTCCTGTACTAATGACAAACTGTACTAATGACAAAAACCGTACAAGAGAACAGAAACCAAAACACTAACGTTATTGTCCTTACTTAGATGACCACCTACGTCTATGCAATGAAACTGACTTTTTTATGAGTATAGTTTGGAAAATGAGTCCATTGTATCACACCAGAACAAAAATACTGTCTCTCGACTCGCATTCTGCTAATCAAGTTAACAACATCATCAGAAGGTGAGAGACTGTATTTTCGTTCTGATGTGAGATAGTGTTTTCAATAGAGACAGATTTTGTTCGATACTTGTTTTTCCACAATTGAAAGAGTGATCAGAGTGATCCTATCACACTAGTAGACAATTTTTGATACAAGCCTCACTTAACGATGGTTATGTTTTATCGATGTACCTTTTCAGGTATCTGAATTGTTGACACAGTTCATAATAACGGCTTTATTTAGTTTTCGGGTGTGAAAGTTATTTCCCCCAAATGATATGAAAGTGTATTTCTTGAAAAGAGACTTCTGATACTGAATGAATGATTCCTCAGTTAAAATTTGTTATATAATGCTACCTTGCAAAACGAAGTCTTTTTTCAACTAAAACATGCACTTTTCATGTATAAATACAAACCTAAGAAAAAATACAAAACACAGGAAAATACTTGATACCAGGTGAACAACAAACAAATCAATTCTTGGAAATATACCTATTCATTTGAATTTGTTGACAGATGATATCAGTAAATAATGTTGAGAGACTGAAACTTTTTTCATCGATACATATTATTAACAAATATCAATACCAGTTTCCATATTTTGATTTCTGAAAGTGAGGTTGAAGAAGTGAACGGATGTTTCGAAGAAGTAGGTACCTTGAAACTTCCTATCTAATGGGTAACACTACTAATCAAAACTAGAGTAATTGGTTATCATGAAGCTATTATTACTTTGTTGTATTTTCTGATTCCAAAGTAGCAAAACTAATTATTTTGGTTCGACAAAACATTTGATTCTTACATTTTCTGTTTCACTGATATACTGCTCCTCTTGTGCAGTTTCATTTGTTTTCAGGACTTTCAAAATCTGCCAGTCATTGTCAAACAAGTAAACTGTTGGTTGTACTTGAGAGTCAGCTTCGCATATCCCCATAGTCACACACCAGGAATAATTTCCCATATTCCAGGAAAACTTCACCATAACGAATGAAGGTGGTGTCCAAACATACCACTGGAATTCGTATTTATCATTTCGATTCAACTTGGTTATGAATGTTGACTGCAGACTGACGAACTGAGTTCCAGCATGTTTCTCACTGAAGTGTTTCTCTATTTCAAACAATTTAACCATATGAGTGCATTGATTCACTGGACACGACTGTGATGGCTGATTTACACAATAGATTTCGTGTTTGTAAAGGCTTATGTTGTAAGAAGCCGTGGTGCAACCCCAATAGCAATAAAACAGTATGTAGGAGTAAACATCGTACTCCAAAACCAGCCTGGCTTGCGAATACGTGAACTTGTAGTCCTCTGAGCTCTTGAAAATGAGGTAACAGGAAGAACATATCCAAAGGTAACTTTGATTCTGCCTCAGAAAAACGGATTTAATATACGTGTCTTGATCAAGACACAACTCGTGGCAAAAGTAACATGACAAAATTATTTCTACTTTTCCTGATAATGTTGTCGTGATCAAATTATAGAAATCCAAATCAGTGGAATACTCTGAATAATGCTTCAGAAAGGAGCCATCTAAATAAACTTTTCTCGGTAGGGTGAGCTTTTTCTGAAAACAAATATCCGAAAGTTTTCTGAAGTGTCGCAAACTATCGTTTTCATCCAAGCTAGTAATGGATAAGTCTACGGTGTCTGTTGATTTTGATGATTGAATGAGAGCATCTGTTTTAGTGGAACTAGCCGAAAAAATCCCAGCAGGTTTTGATTCCTTTTGGTCTGAAGGTGGACCAGTAAAAACCCCAACTATCTCAGCAACATTGAGTTTCAATTTTACGTTGACGTGATTCTCCATGGACATGTTGGCAAACTTGATGAGGAATCCATCGTTTTCTCCTGCATAAAAATTACTATTTAACACCCACTATAAAAAGTAAAATGAGGGTATATTGAATAGTTCACTAGACTGAAACAAATATTTTGCCAACAACTCCTTCAGATAGATATTACTATAATCATAATGTGTTATACTATCAACAAAAACACTGCAACCTCACATTTAAAAAAAAAAACATAAGAGAACATGTTTTCTGAGTCGCATGTAGGTGAAGTTTCCCAAATGGATTCATTTTGTTCAGGTGTCCTCTGAATGGATAATATCCAGAGATCCTGTAATTATTATGATCTCTTTCAACGAAGACACATAGCAATACACAAATGCATTGATCAAAAATAGTTGAGATAGTGATTCGTTTAAGCCTATCATTGATCTCGGATATTGAAATGTCATATGACACAAATCCCAACATACTTATCTCAGTCCCAAACTCCAGACATCACCAGAAAATAGCTAATGAGGCTCTGCCGAAACGTCATGAAAGTAATCCTTGTGAGGATCAAAAACAAAGAACACGGAATGAAACCTATCTATATACAGGGTGATTCACAAGTGATGGCACACATACGTTTCTGGTGAACAAGAAACCAGATCACTGAATGAAGAGCATAGTCGGAAATTTTTTCCCAACAGAAATATTTTTCAAAATGCGGTGTTGCCACTTCCATAAGAAAGTGGTAGGAACTTTGATTTTTCAAATGGAACACTCTGTATATAATCTTATTTTTTGAATTTACAACAATTACTCGACATTTTTTCCGTTATTTCTCTATACCTATTTTCGAAATATGAATTAATTTCAATTTTTTTCTTCGGAAATCATGACACCTAAAAGTGCTGATATTTTTGAGTTAGGAAATACTATGTTACCGAAATTTGGTTTGAGGTTGATACTTTGAGGCTACTACCCACACTTCAGAGTTTTTTCAATACAGGGTGCTAAAAAATACAATATTTTCATTTGCTTGAAAAAGTAACTGAAAGTTTACTATTTCAAATGGAACACCCTGTGCATCACTACAAATTCGGAAAATTGTTAAAATTTGTTTTTTTCCTATATATATCATACGTGAACCTTACTACTTATGATGCACTGTTTGGAACCTTTGGTGTAGTAATGAATATTACTACACCAAGAGGAAGATTAAAACTGTTTTAATCTTCCTCTTTGAAGATGATCACTTGGTGATCGAAACACGTGTCGAGGTGTTGAAAATAACGATTTGGTATTGGGAAAAAACTCCAGTAATATAAACCTAACTAGTCAAGTTTTGGACAAATGATCATTTATTTGTGAAATGGTAATACCATTTGGTGTTTTGTAAACAGGCCGTGATTACTATTTGACAGTAACGTTTTGAAATTCTAATATTATTGACATTTCCGTCACTTCAGAAGTTTCAAATACCTCCAAAACAATGAAACAAAACTTTTGAAACGAAGTTCTTATGAATTTGTTTATTATTTTTGGACAGTATGTGATGAAGTTATCAACCTGCAGGACATATAGAAAGTTCAACGAAAGGTGCTCGAGTCTACTGCAAATGAACCTCAAGAAATAAATACGAATTCTAAACGATTTCAATGCATTTAGATTAACTTTAAACGGATCAAGAAACTTGCCTCAATTTTAACGCAATTCTCAAGTCATGCTACTACTTGCTACTACTTAAGTGGCAACACCGAATTGTCGAAAATATATTTTTTAAGTAGATAATATCCGAATATGCTCCCGAATAAATTTTAGAATTGATCCCTTGTCTTTTTCACCAGAAACGTCTTCTATTCGTGAATGATAAAACTGGAATATTGGCGTGGAATTAAACCAAAACAAGAACTCATCCAAAATCCAAAAACTGCAACAATCTCCTCAATACGCGTTTTATAAATGAAGTTAGCGCTCACAGAAGATGAAGAAGAGTATCTACTACTGTCTATAGTCCTCTTCATATTCTGAAGACATCAACTTCTGGTTCTGGGAACAGTACTTGTTTTGGAACACTTCAGATGATTTCATTACATAAGAATTACACATATCCTAGCTCAAAACCATCAGAATGAATCAATACATGATTTTATTTCATCTAATAATATTCAGGATATTTATAAAACCTTCCAAAAAGCAGTTGAGTTGTCAAAGAGCAGTTGAACAGTTTCTGAGTGAATTATAAATGATTATCATTATTTCATTTTAACAGGCATATTATGTACATTCGCTTCTTTCTTCAAATCTTTGATAAAAATCTCTGAAGTAAAAACACAAATAAAATTGAAGCATGATTTTTCCACTTCAGCTAGCTTTTTGACAGTCTCCAAAAACTCAGGTGAACTTTAAGTGGAGAAATTTCTTCTGTTACTCACCACAATCCTTCAAGCCTTCCTTACTGTAAGGAGTACAGAATTTTGGATCAGTACTGATAGAAATTTCAGATCCTGTGAACTGTACGAAAAACTGTTGTTCAATTTTTGCTGCTCTCGATCTCTCACCAAAGTGGAAAGTATTCAGAAAAATAACCTCGTCTGCTATATCGAGCCGAAACAATATCATGAATAGGTCATCTTTGAAGCGGTGGAAAAATATCGCCTCATACTCATTGGAGGTTATTCCCAAGTCCACAGAAAAGGAGGGACAGCGCAGAATTACAGACTGATGTTGCTCCTCAAAGTGTTCCGGTAGCATGAACGTAGGAACTTCAAAGTTTTCACAGAAAGGACAGACATACTCTCTCGTTATACACTTTGCTTCATGCTCTACTACTTGGGAGTATGTTAAAAGTGTCCTGCAACCATCAAATCTGTTGACACATTTGAATAGGCTTCTTTCTGCTACTAGTTGGTATAAGGAAATCACTCCTTGGTCGTTATCTTTTGAACACCTTCCGCATTTGATATATTTGTTTGAGTAGACTTTCACTGGAGAAACAGACAAAAAACGCTGACAAGAGTGACAGGTCAAATTTTCCAGATTTCCCTCAGAAAGTAGAAAGCCCATTGTTTCTTTACCACTTTCTCTCAGCTAGTTCACGAAAATGTAGAATATAATTAGTTGTGTCTCTATGAAGAAATATGTCCCTGACATGAAAGCTGATAAGATTTTTTTTGATCAGTAGAATACGCTAGCTACGATATCGTTTCAAAATATACTACTCAAAAATTGACATGGATCTGTCGATACAAAATTCGGGATAACATACTCGTATATAATATTTCTTTTACATTCTAGAATTTCTTATGTAGTCAATAAAAAATTATCACATATTCAACATTCAGGTAATATCAATACAATAAATGTGTTATAGCAATATGATACAAGACATAATCTCGCAGCTTGATGAATGAAGAGCAGATAAAAATACTGTTTTTTTTTTTGGGCGAATAGTCAAAATTCTAGGATGAGCCGTTAGCGAGTCCTGGAAGTCATTGAGTGGAAAAAACTGTTTTTGCACGTGTTGCGTACATAATTTTTCGACAACCGTGAAGAATAATAAATAGACGAGACACATTTTTTTGTTATATTCTTTTGTCGAACCAAATTTGGAACATTCTATTTCTTTTTTACATTAAAATTCATATGAGAATTCGATCAATTGTTAACATGTAAGGGATTCAATTTGTTTCAAATGTTCGGTATATTTAAATACCTTCTGTTGAATTCAGAACATGGAGATAAAGTTTCGCTTGTGAGTATGTTTCCACAATTACCAGTAAATAATGTCGTTGAAGTTCTACGAACGCTATGGCCTGTATAATTTTTAGGATTGGGTGAATTCAAAAATTCTGCAATTCTTTATCCAGAATTTCGAAAGCTGTGGGTACCAACAGATCCAATCAATCATTTTTTTTATAATTCACGAACAATTTCTTATGTGGAGTATGAGATAAAGCATTACCTCAACAAGAGCAAATTTTCTATCTCAATTACAACAAGTATTTGGAATATGGTATTTTCACAAGTCGTTTATTGGATCAATGGACATTTTTCTTAGTTATTTCCGTCGACACGCACCTACTAACCCAATATTTAATGCTACTCGAAAGGAAAGCAGAATAAGTTGATACTTTTATATCAATACTAGCTGACCTTGGAAACTTTGTTTTGCCACATAAATCATTACGAGAAAATTCTTAGGGTGAAAAATAATAACCACCTTATTCTATGTGATTGTAAGAACAATAACACAGATAATATCAATCTATTATGTGTACAATATATTTCGTCAGTCTCCATGTAACACAAACTGGATGGTTTGACCACTCGAGAGCATTCCACGTATACTTGTCCGTATGAAAGTCATGGTGTGCTCAAATCTAAGCCACAAACGGACAATGTTTGGCCTTGAAACTAATTGATGATCATTGCAGAAGGCAATATAATTGGAAATAGCACACGTTTACAATGAATTGGCATATCTGTAGGTACAGTAGGGATTCCTGGTATTGATATATTTTCACCTCGGAACTTGCCATTGAAAATGCTGGCTTCGACAATGTTTTTCAATGACTAAACATGTGCCGTTGCACAGCCGTGGTGGATTCCCATTACGGAGCGATCCAACCGTCATTTGTAAATGACTGTGGCATGCCTGGCAAATCCATTGAGTTCAAAAACTGTATCTACGCTATATGGATAAACAAAAGTGGCTGAAAACTGTGTGTGGAGTGAGAAAAGACTTTTTGTGTGAGCGAGAGAGAAGAGCAAATTCGTTTTCATTTCTATTCTATGCTGATTACTGAGTGACGCTCACATTGAATTTTCCAAAAAATATTGTTCTTGGTTACCTCCACTATAATGTTAATAATGATAGAGTGACCCAGTATTTCCACGGGTATATGAACAGAGAAAGTCAACAACACTCGGTGCACGTCCTCCTGACGAATCCTAGTTGAAAGGGTAAGGGGAAAAATTTCCAACCTGATGACAATGAAGATGACTATGACAACACTCGGTGCAGTATAAGCATAACTTCTCTATTGCCTGGATCGGCTACCGCAAGGCATACAGTAACCATGATCGGTTTTTGGTGGGTTTTCGCCTTTGAGAAGTGCCTGGAGGGTTCACCGATGTCCAGCCACTGTCCTGAACGTCTCCTGTTTTCGTAAAGAATCCACTTTCCATCGTGAGGATCCGCAAAAAGAAAAAAAAACAGACTTCCAGTTTTCGATCTTTTTGAGCTCTCCTATATGTTTCAAACCATTAAAAATCGTATGGTAATTGACCCCTAGATCTTTGCCATCCCACGTACCATTCGTAATGAGTCAGTCTCCACCAGGGTTCTCGAATCCTCGTCCTGGATGACTGTAGGTCGACCACTTCAGGGGTCATATTCGAGGCTAAAATCTCCAGAATGAAATTTCGCGTTCATCAACACTATCATTGCATAAATGTATAGTGTACGAAATTCTTTATCACACATGACATTGAAACGGGCAAAACTTCTGAAACAACCTAATACAATAGTTTCTTCACGAGCCTAATGAATCGTGTTTACCCTATTTGAACAAACAAAATCTCCATCGCGAATGCTATTAGCTTTTATGTACGAATATTTACTTTCGATAAAACGTATAAGAGTTTACCGATAGCTTAGTGGAAATATTTCCAATGCTCGATCGGTTCCTGTTTGTTTTTTGTACCCGCAAATCGGCATTCCTGCCGGAATTCGCAGAAATAAATAGATAAACAGACTCACGGTTTGTGTTTATTTCGATTTGGATGTTATTTATGCCCAGATACGACGTTATGTTTGCTTTTATTCAAACTGACTTCCTGTAATCAAACGTGAAATAAGGCTATTACTTGATCTACATACGAATTATTTTCATTCATATTTCTACTTATATTCGAATGCTTTTTCAAAGGTTTGATAATTGAACTTATAATAAGTTGAGAAACATTTCCAAAGCTCACGTATTTTCTCAATCATAAATTCTGTTTTCAAGTACAAATATTCTTTCAGAAAAACAAAATTGACATTTTCTAAGGTCATTCAAGAACTGATCATATCCAGATCTAGTGGGATCTTACGAGTGATTGAAATTTCTAATATATAATTCAATTCTTTCGGCAGATAACGTTTACAACAATTTTGGACTTGCTTCGAAATTAGATTGATCAACTGTTATAATTTGATAAGATTTCAACCATGTATGTTTTTCTTTAAATTCCACTCGTGAGCTTTGGGTTTGATAATTGGAATAAATTCATCAGTTCGGACTTCCATTGTCTAACATAATATAAATTGATTTGAAATCTCTGAAAAAATAAATGATTAACCGAAAAATGAAAAATGAAAATTAAAAGATTCCAAACCAACCAATGTATTGAGTTTCAAGTGGGTGAGGTAATAATGTTTAAGATTTGTGTAAAGTCAAACGAATTTGTTCAAGATTTGTCAGACGTATGACATGACTGGAATAATAACTGAGAAATGTTCTGATTTTCAACATATTCATTTAGGTTTTCGTTCATGTCATATTCTTCCTCAAATAGTTTTAACTACAACAAGTTAATTTTTATTCGGTCTTGGCTCTTCTGGGCTCTTCCATTGGAACGATTGGATTTTCATCGATTTCTCAACCATTTACCCATGAGTCTTCATCAGTCATGACCCTTTTCAGCAAATCTGGATCGCCATTGACAACATTCAACAATTCCTGGGGGTGCTCATGCGATGGATTTCATAATCAAAATTCAGTAATTTTGAAATGGACTTCACTGCCACATGCTTCATTCCCAAAACTTCCGAAAAAATTGCATAGCATGAGCAAATCTCAATGCCAATATCGACGATGAATCGACGATTCTTCATAACATTTTTTTTCACTTTCACAACATTTTCATCGACGGTTGATGTGCTGGGGCGTCCAGGACGAGCGTCCTCATTCACATTTTCTCGACCCTCTGTTGCAAGCCTGTACCTACCATTTTAAACATACTTTCGACTCAGAGCATATATTGAATATACGTATGTCTCATCAAAAGAAATGATTAGTTCTGAAAAGAAAGACTGAGACTTTTCGAGTTTTTTTTCGATTTGGCAACGTCTGAAATTCTACTATCAGTTGTGCAACGTACAAAATCGAATTTTACTAGTTTTATTGCTATCGAACGCATTTAATTGGGAATTTCACAGTTGGTAAGTTGGATATACAAAATTACCTACCATGAATATCCTACAGCAGAAAATCGACGAACGCGCTAAACACTTCTAAATTTCATGCAACAACAACCAAGCATGCTAAACAACCGAAACAATGAGCATATGTTAGATATGAGTGAATCGAGATAAAAAAATTAAAATGTTGCTGATCGAATGTATAAGTAGCCCGCGAAATTTGGACACTCACATAATTTTTTAATCGACCTTGTATAT